AAGCCATAGAGCCAGCATTTTGTCCGACGACAATCTTCCATGGTCACATGGCTAGTGCGACTTAGACACAGAACGCTGTTACCTTCCCACCGAGGGGGTCCCTATTTATCTACTTGCATTTGCATGCTTTCGAACCACTAGGTTGGTGGGAGCTGGGACAAGCAGCGGGCGCTCACTCCGTCGCGTGGATTCGATCTTATGACTGCTGGTCTTCTGACCCTGCAGCACAGGCTTCTGCGGTTTAGCCCGCAGTGTCACCATGTCCCTTAGCAGGACTTGAGAGGGCAAAAACTCTTCCCTGCCCTGTTTCCTAGTCCTTTTTTAAAATTTTAAGAAAGATCCAACATCTTGATATTTTTTTCTAGCCTTATGTATATAACATGTAAAAGACATGGAATGCAGAAACCATTGTTCCATTTAGGTCTGCCATGTGAATTGAAACAAATAAGACAGCGAAATACAGGACATGGGAGCTCACCAGTGTCAGGTCAGATATTTGTTATGCAGTTTAATTGAAAATTCAGGTACTCCTGTGCCATGAACACAGGAGAGGGTTAATTTATTCCCTGAAGTCTGTGGAAAGCTGTACATGATTGTTGAACTGAACTGGATGGGAGAAGAGAAGCATATTCTGATTAGAGAGACTAGCTGTGCCTGTGTAAAAATGCTATCAACAACCTTGAAGTTAGAAAGAATGTTATGAGAATCCTCTCTCCTTGGAGTCTCGTAGTACTGAAATCAATGATACCTGCAATATCTGATTAGTTACTTTTACAGAAGTTGCCAATTAGGTAGTTTGGGAAATAACTGATTGCTTGAAAGAGTTGACCCATCCAGAGAGGTGATGATGGAGTATAAGAAAGAACAGAAGAATGGTTCGTGTATACAGCTTAAGTTGTTACATAGTTAGCCTACTTGCTTCATCTTTCGGCACGTAACTTGTACCTGTTATTCTGCTGAACTCTGTGTGTGCATTGGAATCATGCTACTTTGTAAGTATAGATCTAGTTAGTTAGTTTTAATATTTTCTATGGGCCTGATTCTTAGTTGCCTAAATCTCTCAACTCAGTTTTGTTTTGCTTTTAATATGGAACTGCTTCACAACATTATTATTCTTTCGGAAGCATTAAATCAACTTTTGAACATGCATGTCTTTTTGAAACACCTGTAATAAAGATAATAAAATTTTGTAGCTATGTCATTACTCAGATCAAGGGGTTGGTGGTACATGGAAAGTGCCTTCCTTGCACTCAGACAATATCCGTACTTTCTGGGATTTTTTAATTATTATTTTCTACCTTCCAAAATTGGTTGGCAGCCACAAGCAACAGCTTGAAAGTTTTTGTCTTTCCTTTGAGCACAAAAGGAACAAGTAAAACTCAAGAGTGTTGGGATAAGGGTCTCACAGCAAGCTTTCTCAATCACTAGCACACTGAGCTCTCCTGGCAAGTACCCATACCAAAAAAGCAAAGGTAGTATGGCTGAAAGGTCATTGGATCCTCTCTGTAGTGGCCCGTAATCTTCATGTCGTGAGAGCTTTCTTTTAAAATGTGTATGTTTTAATCAATCAGTCAGACAGACAGACAATAAGAAGGAATAAGAAGCTGAATTTTAGTTCTAAGATCCATGGTTTAAGTCAGAAGTGTGAAAAGATAGATCTGGATCTGTTGGAAGAATTCTGAGGGATTTGCAAGGATTTCTGATTCCCAATATTTAACAAAGCAGCAACAGAATAACCTGTTATCCTAAACTATGCTGAAATTAAGGTATAGGATCGCCAGAAGTAGGTGTTTACAGAGAATGGCATCAAACTGTCTTCAATTCTGGTAATCAAATTCTTGAGCTCTGAATTCTTTAATTCTAAGTGTATTTTTCTTACAATATGATTGATAGATCCTTGAGTTCTAGTAAAAAATATTTATATCCTCAAGTTTGCTCAGTTCTGTTTCTAGCTGACATATTGATCATTCTGAGGGTGATGGCTCCTGATTGCATATTGCTGCATTAAATATCCAAGATTATATGTTTTTGAGTTTTATTGTTGTTGTTGTTTAGTCATTAAGTCGTGTCCGACTCATGACCCCATGGACCAGAGGATGCTAGGCCCTCCTGTCTTCCACTGTCTCCCGGAATTGGGTCAAATTCATTTTGGTAGCTCCGATGACACTGTTCAGCCATCTCGTCCTCTGTCATCTCCTTCTCCTCCTGCCTTCACACTTTCTCAACATCAAGGTCTTTTCCAGGGAGTCTTCTGTTCTCATGAGATGGCCAAGTATTGGACCCTCAGCTTCAGGATCTGTCCTTCCAGTGAGCACTCCTGGTTGATTTCCTTCAAAATGGATAGGTTTGTTCTCCTTGCAGTCCAGGGGACTCTCAAGTCTCCTCCAGCACCACAATTCAAAAGCATCAGTTCTTCTGTGGTCAGACTCCTTTATGGTCCAGCTCTCACTTCCTTACATCACTACAGAAAAAAAACATAGCTTTGACTATGCGGACCTTTGTTGGCAAGCAATGTCTCTGTATTTTAAGATGCTGTCTAGGTTTCTCCTCACTTTCCTCCCAAGAAGCAGGCATCTTTTAATTTTGTGGCTGCTGTCACCATCTGCAGTGATCATGGAGCCCAAGAAACTCAACTCTGTCACTGCCTCCATATCTTCCCCTTCTATTTGCCAGGAGGTGA